GAATGATCAAGTTTTAGACTCCGTTTTAGTAGGACCTGTTCCTGCAGGAAGGCACATGTTTGTATTTCAGGTAAGTTTGTTATTTTCAATAATTTTACATCAGTTGAATTAATCTGATGTTTAAATGGGGCCAGCATAAAGTGAAGCAGCATTTCAATAATATGTTTTATGTTAGCAAACACTATTTTATGTCAACTCCTGAAAATCTGTCTACATGAGTCCTTGTTTTGCCTGAAATAGCCTACAGTTACAGTTCCACTTGTGGTATCAATGAGGGAATGGGGGAAGGAGAGGACTAGTTTAGACAAGGTTCTGGTGGCTACTGGCATTGTAACCACTCTGTTGACTAGCCTTGCTCAGGGAAAAGTTAGACAACACAGTGATTAAAAATGCCATTTAGCTGGTACATGAAAGCACTTCCCAACACCTATACCACTGGTGAGGTTGTAGTGTTGGTAGCAATTGTGGGAAACTTTTGAGTATAAATGTTAGTCTAGGCCCCAGTGACCAGTTCAATAGAATAGCCATCTGTCTTTGGTCAGCAAGACAATATTGCATCATGATGTTTGGCTCCTCATGCCATAATGCTGTAATTGCAACACCGTTTCCCAAGTCCTGAAATAAGTCTGGGATTCTCATTGATTGAAGCATGTCAGGGAGACACATGAAGATCACGACTCACCCACACATTTTCAGATGTTTGAAAATCCTAAGAACTACCAACTGAGGAAGCCAAAGAGTTACAAATAAGGCAAGGAGCAAGGGAAATGGGGAGAGGAGAGCAGAGAAGGGGCTTTATGCACTGCTCTGGTATCAGTCTCGCTTTAATTCTCAGGGGAGCTTTCTCTGTATCACAAAACCATGACTCAGGCCTGGTCTACACCTAAAACTTAGGGGTGCTTTACACTAAAAACTTAGGTCAACCTATCTGTCAATGCCAAGAGACATTGTTAAGCTGACCTAAACCATTAGGTCAGCTAAACAATTTTTTCACTGACCTAGCTATTGCCTCTTCAGGTCAATTGACTATATTGTTGGAAAACAAGTGACAGTGCTGCAGGTATGCTACTGTAGGGCTGGTAGTGTGGACATAGCCTTAGTTCTGCATAACCTCTGTTTACCCAATGCTAGCTTCATCGGATAAAATAGGTCTAAAATGCCCTGGCAGTGGCGGCAGTGGCAGAAGTGTCAGACTAAAACTAAATTTAGCTCCTTACAGAAGAATTGAACTTCCACCCCCACAACTGCACTTTGCTGTGATTGTATGGCAAAGATACACTGGTGTGCATGCATACAACTAAAGAAAATAACTGGAGATAGAAAAGAGCTTCTATATTTCTGACAGTTGATACAATTGTTTTAAGGATGGTGTCAGGTTGTGTGTAGAAAATATCTAAGGCATCTTGAATAAACATGTAAATCCCAATTATTCGAATGCTTCAGAGCACATCTGAAACTTCCAGATAAAGGAAAACTTAATTTTACAGTGCAGGTCAAAAGCACAGCAGTGAGCAGGAAGATGGATACATTTATCAGCTTTTTACATATAAATCATTCTCTAAGCACTTCTCTATTAATTAGGTTTCAATACTGGTTTTCTCCCTCCAAGCAGTAAAGCAGATGTGTGAGAAATTACTTCCCCAATTAGAATTTCTTCCACTATCAAGCTGTAATCCTTTAGCCATAACAACCTACCATGGAAATTGGTAGAAGTGATCTGCAGCCTTCTAATACCTTGGAAATAGGTTACTGTGCAGCGCACGGCTCAGAAAGATGAATTATGCTTCTGTATTTTTAAAGATGCATTAATTTGGGTGACGATTGTATGATACATTTTTAAACTAAAAATTACAATTAAGTTATAAATGTTGCTGGTGGCAGGGAGAGAGAGGAAGAAGAACTGATGTTGTTTATCTAAAGAGATATTTTGGACATGTTATACAAATAACTATCTTGAGTATCCAAACTTCACATGTCCCAGGTGTGAAACTTACAGAGGAAATAATCATTTATCATATTTCAACTATGAATATTTGTCAAACTAGGAGTTAGACATAGAGTACATTTGCTTTTATTGGAACATAGCCTATGCAAGATCCTATACAAACTCTTCTGCAACACAGTGAACCTATTTCTTTAGGAAAGTACTGCAGCCCAAAGTATATTAGACTTTGATCATCAAATTTCACAAGAGGGATTAATACTTAAATGGAAGACCACCACATATAGGTCACAACTCTATGGTTGCTCCAGAGCTCGAGCACCCATGGTAAAAAGCCCAGATCAGCTGCTCTCCCTTCCACCAGCACCTCCTGCCCCTCCGCTGATCCGTGCCTCTCCCCTGATCAGTGCCTCTTCCCCACCTCCCCCCAAGTGCCTTCCATCTGCTGCTCCACAGTATGCAGGAGGTGGGGGGAGCAGGAGCAGCGAGCGCTCAGGGGAGGGGACAGGATGGGAAGAGGAAGGGAAGGGGTTTTGGGGGAAGAGGTGGAACCTGGGGGCAGGGCCTGTGGGGAAGCACTTCCTCTCTCCAGCACATTAGAAAATTGGTAACTCTGAAACCAAGAAAAAAGCAGGGCACTGCACGAAGTCATGTTGGTGAGTCAAGAGATAATATTAACTTCTATCTGAACAGTAACTGAACCAGCACCTCAGCATAGGATACTGCCTTGCTATAGGTGCAATCTTTTGATAAGATAAATAAAATAAAAATTCTGAACATTTATGGGCATTAAAAATCTCATAATATTTTTTGCACAAATATGTGTAGAGCCCAATGCAGATACAAAATCTATCCACATCTGTATCCAAAAAAATGAGCCACAGCTATCCGCATTGACATCCACGGATACGGATACCCATGCATATAAAGCGGATGTGCAGGGCTCTAAACGTGATTCAGGGTCCCGTTTAGACTAGGAAAATTAGGTGAGTTTGGCAAACATGTTTATATATGTTAATTGATACATTGCTAAACAACATTTTCTATCTAGTATAGATGAAGACAGTGGAATTTTAAAAAAAGATACTAGTGAGAAGCTATTGACCATGACCATATCATATGTTTTTAAAAGATGCTAGTCATTGTCTATGGCAGGTGCTAAGTGACTTTAAAAATGTGTTAACACACATTAACCAAAACTGAGAACAAACAACACGTGACAGATGTTTGAGTCACATCACTTAATGCGCTACTGCCAGGCACTCAGATGAGTGCTCTGTAAGAGCCCAAATAGAATGCAACAGACCAGAATATGTTCGCTGCAGACTTCATTCTGCTATTCTAGGCAGGGCCATGCTTCTGCCTATTTAAATTTGCCCTGCAGGTTCAAGGCCATTATTTTCACTCTGTATAAATTTGTTGTGCATAGATGGAGTTGCTAAATCTCTTTCCCAAGTGTCTGCATTTCATTGGCAGGTGAAGAAGCAATTCTTGTATGTGCGTGAGTAGTGTATTTACATATAGGGCCAAATTTTCTGGTGGCATAACTCTGTTATAAGTGGAGTTATGCCAGAACCTCCAGTAACCTCCAGACACCACAAACTCCCTTGAATGCCTATTCCAGTACGTAACTATCCTTATAGTTAGAAAGGTTTTCCTAATATCTAACCTAAGTCTCCCTTACTGCAGATTAGGCCCATTATGTCTTGTCCCCGCTTCAATGCCAGTGAACATGGAGAACAATTGATCACTGTCTTCTTTATAGAAGCATTTAATAAACTTGAAGACTGTTCTTAGGTCTCCCTTCAGTCTTTTCTAAAGACTAAACATGCCCAGATCTTTAACCTTTCATGATAGATTAGGTTCTATAAAACTTATCACCTTTGTTGTCCTTCTCTGGACTCTCAAATTTGTTCATATCTTTCTTAAGGTGTGTGGGGCCAGGCACCGGACACAGTACACCAGATGAGGGCTTACCAATGCGAAGTACAATGGGAGAGTTACCTCCCATGTCTTATATATGACACTGTAATTAATACAACCCAGATCAATATGTCTCTTTCACAACCGCATCATACTGTTGATTCATATTCCACTATAACCTCCAGATCCTTTTCAGCAGCAGTTCTACCTAGCCATTTATTCCTCATTTTGTAGTTGTGCATTTGATGTTTCCTTCTTAAGAGTAGAGACCAACTGATATAATTTGTAGCTTTTTATAAGCATACCCTCCTCCATTCCATTTTTCAAGTCATTGTTAAAAATGCATTACGCCCAGGACAGATGCCTACAGTACCACACTAGATATGTCATTGCAGTTTGACAGCAAATCATTGATAACTACTCTGAGTACTGTTTTCCAACCAGTTTGCCCATCATATAAGTATTTCTATCTAGGCCACATTTTCCTAATTTACTGATATCATTTGGACTATGTCAAATGCCTTATTAAAATCTAGATATATCATATCTACTGTCTCCCTGCTATCCTGCAGACCAGTACCCCTGTGCAAGAAGGAAATTAGGTTGGTTTGGCATGATTTGTTCCTAATAAATCCATGTTGACTATTACTAATTACCCTGTTGTCCTCTATGTGCTTACAAAATGATTGTTTAATATTTTGTTCCAGTATCTTTCCAAGTATCCGAGTTAGTTTGACTGATCTATAATTCTCTGGGTCCTCTTTGTTTCCCTTTTAAAAGACAGGTGCTATATTTATTCTTCACAAGTCCTCTGTGACCTCCTGTGTTCTGGAAGATAACTGATATCAGTTCTGAGATTACTTCAGACAGTACATTTAAGTGCTATAAGTTGAACTGCATCAAGCCTTGTCCACTTGAGTACATCAAACTCATTTTAATATTCTTTAAACTTCCCTTGTTGTTAATAATAATTGTGTTAAAATCTGGTCACTATTAATCTTTTTAGTAAGACTGACTTAGAATAGGTATTATATACACCTCAACCTTCTTGGTATCATCCATTAGCTCTCCTTCTCAGCTAAGTAGTGGATGTAGATGTTTCTTCCTCTTTCTTTTGCTCCTTATGTCTTCTTATTTTTTTCTTATTGCCTTTTCTTTCCCTGTATGTCTTAGTGTTTCTAATTTTGGATATACTGCCTGGCTGCCTTGGTCCCTGCCTGATTATGGATAATACCGCCTGGCTATTCCCCAGTAGTGGCTGTTGTCCTCGGGGCATTTAACTTACCTATTTCTTCAATTTAGTAGCCAGAGCCTCCAATACAAGTATCTAGATTATGGATTATTGTAGAATCACGGAAAGAGGAAACAGGAGCCAATGACTGTGATCAACCAGCTCAACAGACCACAGTGCTAGAATGCCAAATAAACCATTAGAAATATGTTGGACTATAACTTTTTCAGCAATAGCACAGTGCTTAATTGCTGTTTTTGTATTTTTATACAAACATTTGCAAACATTAAATAGTTTAAGCAGTGATCCCTTAAAATGTGCATTGTTATAAATCTTTAATCTAGGTTGAAACAAAAAAAGGTAATTTTTTATTATTAACTGGACTGTCACTTGGAGGTCATTTAAAAAGATTAATGTATATTAGTTAATCCTGAGTTACTGGTTGAAAATGTGTCAAGTTCTCTCCAAGTGATGAGAGAGTTGCATTTCACAGCACGCATCTTAAACTTAGTTATGGGGAGGGAGGCAAATAGGGTTGCTACCTTTGCAATATTTAAACACTAGACACTCTGCTAGAATGCTGGAACCACCCCTGCCCCTTTTCCCCAAGGTTCCACCCTCCCTACTCCTGTCTCATGCCTTCCCCCGAGGTCATGCCTTCTTATCTGTGCCTTTTCCCTCTTCCCCCATTGCTTGCTGATTCTTCCCCCCTAGTCCTCAACCCAGTTCGGGAGAGACTTGCCTGCGGAGCTAGGCTGGGAGCTGCAGCTGCCCAATGCAGGTAGGAGGTGACCCTGACAGAACGGGGGCTAACATGCCTACCCCACCTGCAGTAACAAGAATTTGGGTGTCCGGTCAGTATATCTGACCAGGCCCTGTCTGGTCCTTTTGGACCTGGCATTCCAGTTTAAAACCAGGCACCTGGATGCCCTAGAAGCCAAAGACATACTGGTTCCTTCTCTAATTAGATTATGGAATAACCCAAACCTCATTGCAAACTAGTCCGCTCTCTTCTTGCCAAAGTATGATTTGCAGCTTTTTCCTTACCAGATTAATTTATCAGCTATAAAAATATATGCACCCCAGTGTAACCTCACAGAACCCAAAGATAAATGGGCAAAGGTTGGGGTGGAAAGAGGGGCACAGCAGGGTTGGAGGGACATTAGCACAAATGCCTGAACTACAGATACCTGGTAATTGATCCAAAAATAGTTTGATGCAAAAGCTGCCTATTCATCTAGGCATCAGAAATTACAACAAACAAACCAACTCTGGTAACTGAATTGCTATGTAACTGTAGAGAGCAGTGCCCTAAATCCAAGATCATGATTACTGAGAGAGCCATGTAGATGTGCTTGCACGCAACTATGCATGGAGCATCAGTTTAAAATTTGTGCACAGTCATTGCTTAATCCATATGATGCATACTACCTCACTGGCCCCTGCCAGATATCTCCAATTTTATATAATATGGATCAGATAGATCAATATGTATTGTTTTAAACCTTTTCTTTTTTACGTTTTAGGCTGATGCTCCTAATCCGGGACTTATTCCAGATGCAGATGCAGTAGGTGTAACAGTTGTGTTAATTACATGCACCTACCGAGGCCAAGAATTTATTAGAGTCGGCTATTATGTAAACAATGAATATACTGAAACAGAATTGAGAGAGAATCCTCCAGTAAAACCAGATTTCTCTAAGGTAAGAAATGTTCCATTCTGGTCAGGTATACAAAGCATGGTTAACATAATAGGTTTCCTTAAAAAAAAAAAAATCCTTAAGCCAGTGATACTGAGACCTCAATGGTTCAGGAGCCAGAGTAGCAATCAGTACAGGCAGTCCCCGAGTTACGCGGGTTCCTCTCCCTGGTCTCTGAAGACCAGGGGA